TGTGTGTTTCCAGAGTCCAGAATAATTAAGCCAAAATGAAAGTCAGCACTCAAATGTAGGTGAAGGGAAAAGGCAAAGAAGAAAAGGAACGGCAGGCAGCAACATGGAATTAACTCCTTCAAACAAGTCCACACACTGCAGGTATAAAATCCTCATTCAGAAGCAAATGTCTCCTAGGAAACAGCACAATAGGAACCATTCTGTGAAAGACTTAGACAAGGAGATAAAGTCAATACACTATTTCTTTCCAGTCCAGAAATGCAGAACAGACTTTACAGCAACGTTCTCCCCTGGAAAGAGGACAATAAAGAATAAAGTTATTGTCATACCAGTCTTATAAATGCAGTGGTCAAGTAAACCTTGTTTTCCATTGGAAATATTTGAATGCTCTTCTGTGCCATTTTATTAGCATTACTGAATGCTACAGCAATATGGGTTTTGTTTCAAGATTAGTAAAAGCCTTGAGCAAGATTAGTAAAAATGAAAGGTAGCACACAAGTATTTTAACAAATCGGAGAAACACTTCATGCTTATAGGCACGAAGAAATAAACCTGCATCAGTCTCAGATTATTATTAGTTCAGTACCATGAACTGCTAAATGTTTTCTAAGAATCTATTGTGGTTTTCAACACTTCTGAGAGACCTTGCTGCCAAAGAGAGGCATATGAAGTCTTTGAAGAAATTATGACCAAATAACCCAATCTTGACTGATCTTGTGTTGTTGATGGCTTTCATGGTTGAGAATGCTTCTGGAACATGGCCATAAAGCCCAGAAAACTCACAGCAACCTATTGACTGATATTGACTGATATTATTTCTAATAAAGTTACACTGGAACAAAACTATTGGAAAACTATTGTTTTTAAAGTATTATACATTTTGGTTTTGCACACATGCATACACAAATTATGGCAAGTTTTCCTGGTTAGGGAAAAGGTAGAATGGGATCGTTCATGGCTTAAATTTCAGAGCAATACCTAAAAGGGCCAGTGTGTTTATTTATAGTATAACCTCTTGGTAAGGAATGGTGACTGACTCATGATTTACTCTTGTTTATACTGGCACAAGTAAGGTTCTGGGATCATTTATACAGCACAGAACATGGTTCCAAGCTGAAGTAACTTCATCCATTTTCCCGTGGGAGCTGCTCTCTTAATGTTTTCTGTTTGCAACAACCTAGTGAAATACACAGAACAGGAATGCATTGTTACATGTACTAAATAAATAAAATCTATGAAAATTAGATAGATATGCTCAACACTGCACCAATTTCTGCTGTTGCTGCTACAGAGTTTATCTTTTTATTGCCTCCAGTTTTAAATAAATCAGTCTTATGCTTTTATTTTTAGTTGCTCTGCTAATTGTTTTGCTAATCTTGTACATGAAAAAAGAATGCAGACTCTAACTATTGAAAAAGAAAAAGCTTGTCCATATGCATTGTCAGCAAAAAAGTAAAAAATAATCACATGGTTTTAGATTCATACATTGAAGCACTACTAGAAATGCATGATTACTTTGACTCTTCCGCCCTTTATATAAGTATTCAATTTTAAAATGTAGGTGACACACAACCCACAAAATATTATTGTTTATTGCCAATATATTTTTATTTCTCTTTTTGTCTTAGAATCAAAAGCTAAAACACATGACTCTTTCTTTAAAATGTCAACAACGTTAGGTAAGGTTGGCTTGGGTGACCTAAAGTAATCCAAGTAAATTCATCTTAGACTGGATGTACACTGCCCTATATTTATTTATTTAAAACATTTATATTCTGCCCTTCTCACCCCAAAGGGGACTCAGGGCAGAGGGCAGCAAATATATGGCAAACATTCAATGCCGGGACAAGAATTCATTATATGTATACATAAACAATAAAAACATTTATCTCAATATTAAAATACATTGTTTATAGCCCAGTATTCTTCTTATTCCAGATTATCTGGTAGTGTAGACTCATATAATCTAGTTCAAAGCAGATAATCTAGGACCAGATTCTGAGATATAGGGCAGCGTAGATCCAGCTATAGTTGGAAGAGATCACAAGGGTGCCCCGGTGGAGCAGTAAGTTATACCCTTGTGCCGGCAGGACTGATGACTGAAAGGCCAGCTATTTGAATCTGGGGAAAGCGGGTTGAGCTCCCTCTGTCAGCTCCAGCTCCCCATGCAGAGACACGAGAAAAGCCTCCCACAAGGATGATAAAACATCAAAACATCCGGCCGTTCCCTGGGGAACGTCCTTGCAGACGGGCAATTCTCTCACACCAGAAGTTACTTGCAGTTTCTCAAGTCACTCCTGATATGGAAAGAAAACCGCAAAACAAAACAAAAAAACAAGAGCCATATATCAACTCCTTGCCTTATAGGAATACACAACAAAAGCACTTCTGAAAGATGCACATCCAACAATCGTTTAAAGACCTCTAAAAGGTGGGGAGTCCATCACCTTCTAAAATCATTTATTCCACTGTTTGTACAGGTATTACAGCAGTAAGGTTCTTCCTAATGTTTAGGTGGAGTTACTTTTCCTGTGGTTTGAATTCATTGGTTTTAGGTTCTAGCTTCTGGAGCTTCTTCCATTTTCTACATGACTGGAAGTGTGTCTATGCAGAACTAACATGGTTTGGCTCTACTCTAACTACTATGCCTCAAAGCTATGGAATCATGGGGGTTGTAGTTTGGAGAGGCAGCAGTTATTTAGCAGACCTAGTAAAACGACAACCCCCATGAGACCATACTGTTTAGCTAGACCTGTTAAAGTGGTGTCAAACTGCATTCATTCTTCAGTATAGATGCACCCCAAGACTGCCTGAATTCGAGGGGATGGCAGGCCACTGGTTCCCAACTACTAGTCCTTCAAATGTTTTGGACTTCAGAAGTCTGTCAGTATGGCCAATGCTTAGGGAAGTCCCCAAATTTAGAGGACTATAGTTTGACAACCACTAGTTTAGCAGTCTGCCTGCCACCTGAAGCAAGGAGGGAAAAAAAAACCCCAACAAAAACACAACTCCCAGCAGCTCCTGCCAGCACAAGCAATGGTAAGGAATGCTGGGAAATGGAGGCCAACAACATCTGGGGGGCCACAGGGTTCCCTCTCTTATATCAGATAAATCCAGGTGGCTGCCTCAGGCTGTGAGCTGGGCCATTCCTCCCTTTTACTGGGCCTCTACCAGCCTTATCCACCAACTGGAACCTAAACCCATCTCCACATCTACGCTTTCCTTTCCCAGGTTTTATCAACACTGCAAAATTATAGCAGTTTGACACCACATTAACCACCACAGCTCAATGTGATTCTCAAAGATGTTGCCCTACAGATACATTAAAACTTGCACAGAATTATTCAAAAATATTGTGTAGAAAATCATTCTTCAGGCTATGCAAATAGGGTGTATCTATATAAATAAAAATGTAATGTTCGTTTGTGGGATTAACATAACTCAAAGACCAGTGGACGAACTGACACCAAATTTGGACACAATACATGTATCAGGCCAATGAGTGACCATCACTCATAAAAATGCTGAAAAACACAGCAGAAGAGACTTAAAAAGACAAATAACAAAAAAAATACAACGCACACACAAAACCACATATATACACAAACACACATATACACAAAAATACACACACATATACACATACAAAACACATATAAACAGACTGGACCACAGCAACGTGTGGCAGGGGATGGCTAGTATCTATATAAATAAAAATGAAATGTTAGTTTGTGGGATTAACATAACTCAAAAATTGACACCAAATTTGGACACAATACACCGATCAGGCCAACGAGTGACCATCACTCATAAAACACTGAAAAACACAGTGGAAGGGACTTAAAAAGCCAAAAAAGCAAAAAGATGAGAAGAAAAGGAAAAAAGGGAACAAAAGAGAGAAAGGAGAGAAAGAGGGAGGGAAGGTTGGCCACAGCAACGCATGGCAGGTACAGCTAGTTAAACATAAATGAATATTGTTTAGATTTGGGGCCCATCTTCAAGATATCTCACTACATTGACATTTTAGTCTATATAGCCCACATTGCCTGGGTGTTGGGGGGCGGGGAAGTAGCACTGCCTACCTGCTTTCTCCTTTCTTCAGTTCTGAGAAGGCCCACATCACAATGTCTCCATGGCAACACTCTGGCCAGGGTGGGCAGGCTTTGTTTGTGGTGCTTTCTTTCCTTCCCCCATTTCTCTCATGCAACTCTCTTTTTCTTCCCTTGCTTTCCGTCATACATCTTCCCTCCATTTCTTTCTCTTCCTTCCTCTTCCCTTTTTCTCTCTTCCCTCCCATCCGTCTCTTTTCTCTCCTCGCTCATTTCCCCTTCACTTTCTCTTCCTTATCTTTTCTTTCTTTCCCCTTCCTTCCTCCCTTCCTCTTATATATGTCGAAGGCTTTCATGGTCGGAATCACTGGGTTGTTGTAGGTTTTTTCGGACTGTATGGCCATGGTCTAGAGGCATTCTCTCCTGACGTTTCGCCTGCACTTTGGCAAGCACCCTGAACCTGTTAGGCATGGTGGGAGTTGAAGTCCAAAACACCTGAAGGGCCCAAGTTTGCCCAGGCCTGATCTACACCTTAGATTTCATGCAATCTGACTCCTCTTTAGCTGCCATGACTCCATTATATGGAATCCTGGGAGTTGGAAGTTTTGGTGCATCCCCCTCTTTTGACAGAGAAGGCTAAGGTCCTTGCCAAACTGCAACTCCCATGATTTCATAGTGTAGGGGCAAAGAAACCAAAACACTTCCCAAAAGCAGGAGCCCCCTTTCCAGTAACATTCAGCATGGCAGTGAAAGTGGGGTAAGACTGCATTAATTCTGCAGACTTGAAGCAGCAAGACCTTGGTTTCAGCAGAAGGGAAGAAAAAAAACAGATTCCCCATAATCCCCGGGAGGAGGGGTGTAGCCTCCACGATGACGTCACGCATTGAAGGCCACAAAGCCCGAAGAGGCGAAGGGAGGCCTGGCTGTGTTGTGAGCATGCGCAGTCTTGTGCGGCCTTAGAGCGCCGAACCTGTACAGAGCTGGTGGGCGGAGCATCCGGGGACCTCCTCCTCCTCCTCCCCCCGCCCTCCAGTTGCCAACATGGCGTCTCGGCGATCTCGCTCCGCCTCAGGTCAGTGGGGGCCTCTTTGGGCCGCGCCGGGTGCTGTTGCCATGGTGCCCTCCTGGTCCCCCGGAGCGGAGTTGGCTTGGCCTTTTCCGCGCAGACTTCGGAGCCTTCCCACTCATCCTTCCCCCCATCTCGTGATAGCCCTGCCCTCCTGGAGCCAGTGCTGTGGGGCTGACGAGAGAAATAACTAGAGAGAGGAAAGGGCCATGCTCATTGGCTGCGCTGCGACGGAGGAGGCGGGGCCTGGCCTGGCCTGGCCTGGCCTTTTCCTCCAGGCCCCAAAGAGGAAGGAAGGAAGGAAGGAAAGCTCGGGTGGCAGTGGGGAGGGGGCAGCACAGACACTGCGTGCACACTACAGAATCACAGTTACTTGGCACCACATTAACTGCCATGGCTCAGTTCTGTAGAATCCTGGGAGTTGCAGTTTTGTGAGAGAATTGCTTTCCTCTGTCAGGAAGCCCTGAAGCCACAACAAAGCTCAAATCCCATTATTCCATAGAATGGAACCATGGCCTTTAGGGTGGTGTCAAACTGGTATAATTCTGCAGTGCAGATGGTCTCTAGCCAAGAAGAAAAACAAGGAAGAAAGGCAATGTGGCAGCACATCTAGGATTTGACTCAAGAGTTCATCTACACCAGGCATGGGCAAACTTTGGCCCTCCAGGGTGTCTGGACTGTAACTCCCACAATTCCTAACAGCCCCAGGCCCCTTCCTTTTCCCTCTCAGCCACTTAAGCTGATATTTTGCACCCCTCAACGTTTTCTGCTAATGGAGTTTGTGCCCTCCAAATAGGATGTTCAGCTTCACAACTCTGTGTGTTTTATGAGTCCCTTATAAACGTCCTGCTCCTATTTTATCTGATCATGGTTTGTTAACTGTTTTTATCCTGAATATGTGGCCTGCCCATAGTCATCACTACCATGATTGTGTTTATTGGAATGTTTATTTTACGATTTTCTCTCTCTTTTTAATGTAATTTTGATAATGATGTTGTTGTCTGTTGTATATGCTTTGATTTTATTGCTGTAATATGTTGTCTGGGCTTGGCCCCATGTAAGCCGCTCCAAGTCCCCATCGGGGTGATGGTGACGGGGTAGAAATAATGTTTATTATTATTATTATTATGCACCAGCAATTCCCCTTCAGCTTAAGCGGCTGAGTGGGAAAAGGAATGGGCCTGAGACTGTTAGGAATTGTGGGAGTTGAAGTCCAAAACCCCAGTGGGCCCATGTTTGCCCATGTCTACACTGTGGAATTAATGGAAATGATGTTATGAAGCCCCCGGTGGCACAGTGGGTTAAAGCTCTGTGCCGGCAGGACTGAAGACCGACAGGTTGCAGGTTCGAATCCGGGGAGAGGCGGATGAGCTCCCTCTATCAGCTCCAGCTCCTCATGCGGGAAGCCTCCCACAAGTATGATAAAGACATCAAATCATCCGGGTGTCCCCTGGGCAACGTCCTTGCAGACGGCCAATTCTCTCACAACAGGAGCGACTTGCAGTTTCTCAGGTCGCTCCTGACACGACAAAAAAAAAAAAAGGGAAATGATACCACTTCAACTCCCATGGTTCAGTGCTATGGATTTGTGGGAGTTGCAGTTCTGTGAAATAATTGCTTTCCTCTATCTGGAAGCCCTGAAGCCACATGGCCTTTAAAGTGGTGTCAAACTGGTATAATTCTGCAGTGCAGCTGGTCTCTAGCCAAGAAGAAAAAGTAAGGAAGAAAGGAAATGTGGCAGCATATTTGACTCAAGAGTTCATCTACACCAGGCATGGGCAAACTTTGGCCCTTCAGGGGGGTTTGGGCTTCAACTCCCACAATTCCTAGCACATTCAAGCCCCTTCCTTTTCCTCCTCAGCCGCTTAAGCACCAGCAATTCCCCCTCAGCTTAAGCGTCTGAGGGGGGAAAGGAATGGGCCCGAGACTATTAGAATTGTGGGAGTTGAAGTCCAAAACCCCTGGAGGGCCAAAGTTTGCCCATGTCTGATATACACTGCAGAATTAATGGAAATGATACTACTTTAACTCCTATGGCTCAGTGCTATTGAACTGTGGGAGTGGCAGTTTTACAAGCTTCCTCTGCCAAAGTGTGCTGGTGTCTCACCAAACTGCAGATCCCAGGATTTCATAGCACTGAGTCAAGGAAAGTAGAGTGGTACGAAACAGTATTGATTCTGCAGTGTAGATTTATTCTCACAAGTTCTCAGTTTTCCTCCCATCACCTCTACATGGGGACATAAATCCCCCCCCCCAACTCAATGTAATTATGTTGTATATGAATACTTTTTTGTCCAGCATGCATATTTTGTATATTTGTATTTCAACATTTTATGCAGATACAGCATTCAAATTGGAAGTTTTACTCAACAAATGAGTTTGATAAGGAACCATTTTTCTGAATAATAATTTAATGTCTGGAAAATTCTTGTTCCTGCTTTGAGCAACAATCCACCGATGGTCACACCTCTGTGTTTAAGAACCACTGAACCAACTTTTTTTCATTTTTTGATACTGCCACATTTTCTTTCCTTTATTTTCTTCTTTCCCTTCCTTTGTATGGTACAAGAGACCAAAAAGCCTATTTCTTTGAAATCTACCACTCTGGGCAAGAAGGTTTGCTCATGAGAAGCCTTTCATACTATGCAGTGAGGACACATTTCCTACAAAGAGTGTTTAGGATTCTTAGTCAATCAAATTTTACCCAGATGTTTATCTAATCCTTCCCATGCTGCCTTTGGAAACCCCACAGCTTCAAAAAATTTGTTTGGATTAGAATCTTACAGCTTAATTATGGAGGTCCAGAAAAAATAACCTTTCCAAGTTGAAGACCGACTGCCTCTGATCCTGAGGTAGCAAATAGTTTTTTCCTGTAATTTGCTGAGATCAGTAGAGGACAGGGCTGTTTTAATGTCCCAAAGCACTGCAGCGAGGAGTACTGTTCCTTGAAATAAATAAGAAGAGAAAAGTTAATTGGTCCAATCTCTTTGAGAAAGGAATGGTCATTATTATCTTTTGCCTTGTTCTGCCCTTCCAGTCTAAATCCCATGTTTATGTGTTTAAGTTTATTACTATTATTTTATGAGTATACCTAAAATGTAAAGCGTTATCTATTAACAGACAGTTAAAACTTTGGATGTTTGTCATTCTGGGATCCTCATGTGAGCGTTTGGATTAGTTCAAGCTTTATGGATCCCAAATGTCTGGGGTCCATAAAGTCCCTTAGGGTAAGATTATGCATTGACTTAATGTATTACAGAACGAGAGTTGGAGGTATCAAGAGATGTCTAGACCAACCTCCTACATTATCTGTAGATTGAAGAATATGGAAGAATAGTCATTTGACATACATTAGATTAATGCTATGCCATTTGCAGGATAGCAAAAGAAAGAATGCACTGTTCCCATCTCCTTTGCATTATAATAGAGTACAGGTATGCAGTATGGGCTTTAGTCTGTGCTACTGAATGACTGTAGTAGTTCTTCCAAATTATGTAACACTACACATTTTGTGTGTATTTTCATTCCCTCTTGTTTTTCATATCCCACCTGTTTTCACTAGGCCACAATCCAGCTGTAGTTGCCAGTGCTCCTTGCTGTATATAGTAAAATATACCTGAATGTTTTCATCTCTTGTGAGATCTTTCATTCTGATAATAGGAAAGGGAATATAAGGCCAATACAATTCTTGGCTAAAATTGGGGAGGCAGGGGGTCCACATTCTCTATGTCTGACTGTAGAAGCAAGAATCTAAGTCCTAGTGTTTTTAGATTATATAATTTGTAATGAGAATAGATCCGATTAATCAGTGGGAATGTAGTAAACCAACACCCATAATTTTCATTAACTCAGGACTCTAGTTGGGAAGTGCTCAGATTTAGGTCACTGTGCTCCAGAATCCAAAATGTCCTTAGCACCTATTTAGAGGTTTTGAAGAATAATGAATATAATGAGTTTCTGAATCTACACTTGACTATCCCATAAAGCATACTTGCTATTGCTTGCTTATGCTATTAAGAAAATAAATACTCTCTCCCATAGCAGAATTGTGTGATTTACACCCCATCCCATTTTTAATTGCATACTAAGATCTGTTGTACTGTGAAAAATTGACTAGAGCAGGTATTATGTTACTCTGTTTTAGCAGATTCCAGTGTATCATTGTCTCTATCTTTGGGTTACCTTTCCCATTGTACGGTGGACCCTCGGTATCCACTGTGTTGTTATATAAAAAAGCTGCAATCAGTGTTTGTTTTTTGAATATTTTCAGTCCTTGCTGTTTGAATTTGTGGATACAGAACCTTTGGGTACAGAGGGCCCATTGTATATAGAGAGGGTATCTCTTATCTGGAGATCCAAAATGCTTCAAAAATATACATGATTGGCTGAGATAGTGACACTTCTTGGTACTGCATTGAAACATCAGACAGATCCAATAGCATTGGCTGCATCACCCATGTTGGAAAATCAATTTTGTTTTAAATAAGAAAATCTTCCTTTCAAAACAGAGAACAGTATTTTCAAATGATCCACAATGACAAATACAGCAGCATCAGTCACCTCACATTTTTAGCCAATGAAGCAGGACAATTTTTTTCCAGAAATATGTTTTTGACATAACTATAAATATAATGAAGCCAAATATCTTAGTCTTTGCAACAACAAGAATTTTATATATTTCTTTAAGTTGTTTAGTGAACATATTCAGTTTTTCAAAGATTATCTGCAAAATAACTGACAAATGCTTTACCGTTAACGGTTAGCAGGTGCTTCATTTCAGACTTGTCACTTAAAAAGTCACTAAGAACATCAAATAGTTCCATAAAGTATTTCAAGCTGTTCCCATTTGAGAGCCACCTTAGCTCAGTGTGAAGTAAAAGTCACATGGTCTGCATTTTTGTCCTCACATAATTGCTTGAGGAGATGCTCACATTTGGCATGAGCTTTGATGTCATTAATACATTTCATAACTGATTTTAGTACATCATTAATAAGAGAAATATTTTTGTAAGTTCTCTCTATGAACACAATGCTCAAGAAGTATTTCTGGATTCTCACCTTTCATCAATTTTAAGCATCCATTTTTTGCCCATCATAACAGAGCACCATCTGTAACACAAGATGTTCTGTTTTCTATTGATATATTACTGTCATATAAGTAATTTTTAGCTTATTACATAGCCCTACAACCACAAGAAGTTAACTGTTAATAATTCATTTTTAAATTGCCCTCTTCAAAATCAAGTTGCCCTCTATGGGGAGTGTTCCCCACATTGGGTATACATAGACATGGTAATAATATAGGAAGACTAATTTTCACTTTTTCTTTTAAAGACCATGACAGTGATGATGATTCCTATGAAGTACTCGATTTAACAGAATATGCAAGACGGCATCATTGGTGGAACAGGGTGTTTGGCAGAAATTCTGGACCTATTGTAGAAAAGTACTCTGTAGCTACCCAGATAGTAATGGGCGGTGTATCAGGCTGGTAAGAACACATTCCTTCTACATATTGCAACGTTGTTTTTCTTTTGTTTTAATTCATGTCAAAACTGTTTTAATGTGATATAAAATGTAGTGTTAATTTTTAGAGCATGGGATTAATAATAAAAGAAGTTCCAATCATTCTTGCAAATAGTTCTTGAAATGTGTTAGAGAAGAAATGTTTCAGCTCTGAAAACCTTAAGTTCAAAGGAAAAAGAATCAATTTGAATTGTGTGTTTTTCTTTCCAATAGCACTAACTCTTAAAGCTAATACTGGTCATTGTTGTAGTGCACGAGTTTGCCACTGTGGGAATTGAGGGGCCTGCCTCCCAGGCAATTTTGAAAGATTGCATTTTCACAATGCACTCTACCACCAAATAAATAAATACATATTTTAAAAATAGGAGTACAGGTCAAACAATTACAGATATAAATAATAAAGAAGTTTATTTTAAAACAATTCTTTGGCATATGCATAATTTTATCATTTATTAAAATGAAAGCAAATTTTCTCTCTAATGAGATGTATGTGCATGTTTGTTTTTACATAAATAAATCTTGCCTGAATATTTGATAGTGCAGGACATAGAGCATCCTTAATGTTTTTCATGCTATGCAAGCATTCTTGGTTTGTAAACTCAAATGGTAGAATATGTCCTGTTGGCTCTCCTTTTTTCTTCTGAATTTGGGGACTACAATGGAGTGTGGAGTTCCATACCTCCAGTTTATAAGATCCAAGGTTACAGAGTGGACTGTGGAACTGAAATGGATCCGTACTAATCTCCCTGTTCATATGCATGCATGCAACCCATATCCTTTCATCCTTTCCAAAACAAATAGGTGGCATTAACTCTTCCCTCTTTGCATAGGTTGCAGACAAATTCTTCTTGAATTTATTAATGGCAGATTACTGACTTTTTGTATTTCAATTGAGTATAGTTTATGAACCCAGCTTAATTTTTAGAATCAACATTTGAAGGAAAGTATTTTTTTTAATGGAAAACATAGACAACAAACAAAATTAGCATTTGCAAAGCTTGCTCAACAAGGCAGGCCGATTTTCCTTTTTTCATAAAGTACAGCTGAAGGATTTGCAGCACATCATTGCTCACAGATTCGTGTAAATGCTTAAAACAAACACTAGGAGGCAAGGCATCACATTCAGTTAGGGAACCCAAGTGGGGTCACAATCCACAGTATAAGAAGTTATGGCAGGCCTCTTCAACCTGGGGCCCTCCAGGTGTTTGGGCCTCCAACCATCAGAAGCCCTTGCCAGCTTGTTCAATGGTCGGGAATTCCGGGAACTGAAGTACAAAACTTGTGGAGGGCTGCAGGTTGAAGAGGCCTGATGTTGAATGTGAAAGGGCATTTTCACCATGTTTTGGACCTTTGCACCATTTGAGAGCCAAAAGAAGCGTTTTCAAGCCAGAAGAGGTATCCAGGAGTCACATCTTATTTCTTTGCTGGACCTAAAATGGTCTGGACCAAATGTCCTTCATTTTTCCTAGCTGTATAGGGGAAGACCTGAAATATTTCACTCCTGGTGGACCCTGGAAATCACAAAGACAGTGCTGCGAGTGCAACTAGCCATGGCCTGTACTTTTCTCACCCCTGTTATAATGTGATCTAGGGACTCACTCACTTACTTCTGCTCTGAGTGGTTAGAAAAAGCATAAGCAGTAGTATCTCAGCTATTGAATTTCTCACTTCCTAAATGCAATCCTGAAGGCAAAATGACAGCATTACTTCATTCTCACTTCGATACATACGAATAGAATCAAATAAGTATTGTAAAGGAAATGAAGCAAGTGCTGTGATTAGTTTATTAAAATAAATAGTTATTTGTTATATCAGTCACCAACCTTTGAAATAAATTTCTCTGTGGCAGCATATAATGTTATTTTTACAAGCATGTTACTGTTGATTAGTTTTAAAGTTGTAATGGAAAAAAACATCCAGGAGGGACAGAAATAATATATTGAAAGTAATGGTGTAATTTGCATAATATATGTCTATATGTCACAGAACTTTTACTGTTCTAATTAACCCATCTCATTTTACTGCATAAAAATAAATGTATATATTTATTGGATATATATCCCAACTTTTTCCCAGAATGGGATTAAAGTCAATTTACAATCATTTCAAAATATCCCATAAAGGGAATTATTTTACAAAAGTTAAAAAGGAATCAAGTGCCTGTATCATTAAAAAAAAATAGGCTAAAAATAGTTAAAAACATCTAAACATATTTAAAACATATTTTCAGGTTTTTTTTTTTAAAAAAAGATCAACACATTACAAAACAGCATAGCATTTACTCATGTACAGACCACAGTAACTGTTCATGTTGTCCTTTTATTTAGGAATTATGTAGTAGTTGCACAATTCAAAAGGTCATCAAAGTGAATCATTTATTTACTTATTATTATTATTATTATTATTATTATTATTATTATGTTTATTTATATCCTGCCTTCTTTCTCCATACAGAGACTCAAAGCGGCTCAGAATTAAAAGTGTTACAATACAACTTAAAATACACAATATACAAATATTGAAACAGTATTAAACATTAATATTTAAAACAATTCAAGTTATGTGACTTTGTCTAGTCAAATTGCTTGCATGTGTTTGAAGCCATGGAATTCCACAACTTTCTTTCATCAGGCTACAATGTGGAGTTTTAAGGTTTCAGATCCCAAGGTTTAGAATTAGAATTCTAGACTATAACAAGCAGTGTTACCGTGGTCTCTTTTCCTATATTCCTGGCCCTTTGACTGAAAGAAGATATGCACAGTTGATAATCTCTCTCTTTCTCTCTCTTTTTTCCTCCTTACTTCAAGGTGTGCAGGATTTCTGTTCCAGAAGGTTGGAAAACTTGCAGCAACTGCAGTAGGTGGGGGCTTTCTTTTGCTACAGGTGTGTCAATTTAATTTACATAATGGTATCATTTAATATAAACTAATTGGTCTCGAAGTGGAAAGGGAAGGTGGGCGCACAGAAATAGCAAAAAGCTGCCTGCAAACATTTATTTAGAAACACGAATATAGCATTTTAGAGATAATTGATAGGTTCCTCTCATTCTGTTACAGTTTTGCTGAAATTAGTGGGAGGAGGTCTGTGGATTGTGTGTAATTAAACATTAAATGCACTGGCCTGCATCCAGTATTTGAATATTTCTTACAACACAAGCAGATCCTCTAAAATTAAGGGAACCATCCACAAGAGTGAGTAGGCTTCTGTTTAGACGCCAGGGCTTCCCCCTTTTCTTCTGCACCTGCTCATTGTCATCCCCTTTGGCTCTGGAGGGTTGGAGAACATTTCAGAGAAGATTTAGGAAGTTAAGGAGAAGCCTTGAAAGGAGGAGGAATACATTCTAGCAGTAGTGTGTATTCTGCTGGATTGATATAGTAGTATACCTTGTAGTAGACTCAGTGAAGATCACAATATGTTAATATTTTATATTGGATTATATATCTTGAACTCAGCATGGAAAGATAACTTTTGGCATTCACTGGTTTCATTTCTATTGGAAGTAACATTAACTATGGGAGAAACTTTAAATGTAATGTGCTGCTATAAAGTAATTAGGAATGCAACCAAGATAAAGGTTCTGTAAATAAAAGATGTTGAGTGGGATCCTCAGTGAAAGAAGCCCTTATCAAACCTTTCACCTTTTTAATATGTTCTATTAATGTGAATGTTTTACATTCAGATTTTATATATTGTATATATATATATATTATAATTCTTCTTTGATTATGATTTGTTTAATTTATTGTTGTTAGGCTGTAATGTTGTTTTAATATGTGGGACTTTTCTGGGGTTATAATGTTGGTACTCGTTTTATGGAGGCATTGAGTGTTTGCCATTGTATGCTGGAATCCATCCTGAGTCGTCCCCCCCTCCCGGGAGATAGGGTGGAATACAAATCAAGTTGTTGTTGTTGTTGTTGTTGTTATTTGAAACACAACAAGATGATGATGATGATGATGATGATGATGATGATGATGAGAGTTTCTCAGCTATTCTAGTTTAAAATTAAATGTGAGCATTGGTTAAATACAGTTGCTTGTAAAGGGACTGCATGATACTAAGTGAGGAATTTAATCTTCTCCTATTGTGATAATTTCTCTTGTAATTATATTGGTAAAGCTTTGAGAGAACAATCCTGCTTGAATAGGCAACAGGAAGTGTTTGTAGCGGGTGGAGGATAAAGCTATTAACGCAAGTGTCACATCCTATCTTCTGCTATTTTGCTGTGACTGTAGTGGGAGAAAATAGTGCCCACTATCCATGGCAGTTCTGGAGTTTATTGGGGAAGCAAACAACTTAGGGTGTGATGCCTTTGCGCTCACCTCCAAAATTCACTGCTTCCCCCTCCTCTTCTGGCAGTACATGTTTGCCAGTGGAGCTTTCTATGAGTGGAATAAAGGACCGCTGATGGTACGACTGTCTTCCCACTGTTATGTTTCCACAAGACCACAGAGATTCCTTTTAGCTAACTTTACTACTGTAATGGGGATTGTTCTCTTACTAATACAAAAAACAAGCATATTTGTTATGATTTGTTTTCATGTAATGGCATTCTACTTCTTTTAATATATCTCTCCTTTCATTTTTTTTTTAGATAGCTAGTCATAGTGGCTATGTACAGGTTGACTGGAAAAGAGTTGAAAAAGATGTAAATAAAGCAAAAAAGCAGCTCAAAAAGCGAGCAAACAAGGCAGCTCCTGAAATCAACACATTGATTGAAGAGGTAAAAATAAATATTTTGAATATAAGTTTGTGGAGGTCTTGATGGAAGTTTTTTAAGGTATCCAACATTTAAAAATTGTTGATAAACTGGTATTCTTGCAAGTGAGGTACCCATTATCCAATAACTAAAAGGGCTGCTGCTTGGATGACCTTGTTTTTACTCTAGATGTGATGTCAGTAAGAACTGAAAAGATGTGTCAGTACATCCCAGTAGGCTTTGATTTTGGCCTGTTGTCTGACTTGAATGTTTTGCTTATGCAGTACCTTAAAACCTTTTGAAATACCATACAGCTTTGGTTTATCTATTCAATCAGTTGCATTCAGTAAATGGCACCAGGAGCCCCCGGTAGCACAGTGGGTTAAACCCTTGTGCCGGCAGGACTGAAGACTGATAGGTCGGAGGTTTGAATCCAGGGATAGCGTGGATGAGCTCCCTCTGTCAGCTCCAGCTTTCCATGCAGAGATAAGAGAGAAGCCTCCCACAAGGATGGTCAAACATCAAAACATCCGGGCATCCCTGTGCAATGTCCTTGCAGACGGCCAATTCTCTCACACCAGAAGCGACTTGCAGTTTCTCAAGTTGCTCCTGAAATGGAAAATAAAAGTAAATGGCACGATTTTCTATTGCTACTAATAAGATAAGTACCTCTAATCTGGAAACAAACATGTTTTCTGAGGAATAACTTCTGTGACACTATATGACAGTGACTACACAAAGCCTTTAAAAATAAAATGGGTATTATGACATAAATGTTTCTGGGCAAAAGCCTACTTCATTTATGCAGTTCCTGGTACCACTTTTCATTGTTAAATTAAAACACGTATGTTTGCCTAGACATTTAAATTGAAAACTAACTGTGATATGGTTTTACTGGTTGATAAATTGTTTTGTCTGTTAGTATTTGTGTGGACTAATGTTCTACAGTGTTTTATTCTTTTGTGTTTGTACTCTGCCCTTAAACCATCCTTTGTGGGTAAAAGATGGTATAATTGTTTAAAAAACAAATACTATGTACAGGGTGGCACTAAAATCTGATGGTATACTAGAGGGTTTTTTTTACAGTGCCATGAGATTATAAAACAGGTTGTTCCAGGTACTCTTCTGATTTTTTTCCCTTAAAAGTATTTATGACTTTTTAAATTCAGCAGAAAATGTTCATCCCTAAACTATGTTCCTTAGGGCATGATACAATTACTAACTGTGTGTCTTCAGAAATAAATCTTTGACTTGCTGAAAAAAAACTTTCCCTGTTCTTTCAGTAGAATTGTTTTTTCCCAGAAATGTCATTCCACTAGTGCAGTGTTTCCACTGCCTGCAGAAACTCCATTTTTATCTTTTACCACAAGTTAAATCCAAGCACCTTCTACACTGCCATTTAAAATCCAGATTATCTGCTTTGAACTGGATGATATGGCAATATAGACTCATATATAATACAGTTCAAAGCAGATAATGTGTATTATCTAGTTTGATAATCTAGATTATATGGCAGTATAGAAGGGGCCCCGGTGTTTTACTTCTGCTTGTACCAACCTATTGGATAGTCTTTTTGATACCTCATGACAACATTTAAGATTAAATCAAGGGTTGCTTTGCTTTTTAGTTTGAATATGTAGTTATTTATTTTAACTGTTTTTTAAACTACCAGTGATATTTAATTCTTTTTTAATGTTTATATATTTGTAGATTTTAAATTGTATTAAAATGATTTTAATTTAAACTGCTTTGAGTCTCCTTGTGGAGAAAAAAGTGGGGTATAAATCTAATAATAATAAATAAGAATAATAACTTTATTGCAGTAGGAGATGCTTTGCTAACTGTTCCACTGTTGCTTTCATGCCAAAAGCAAGACCACATAATCATTAGTGGAGTAACCACAGCTTTTGTACTTTCCCACAAGCTTTTTGTTGTAAATAATCATATTTGTTGACACAATCTCTCTCTCTCTCTTTTCCAGTCAACAGAATTTCTCAAACAGAACATAGTTGTATCTGGTGGATTTGTCGGAGGCTTCTTGTTGGGCCTTGCGTCATAGAGACCTCATCATGCTGCCTTAAGAAATGGTGAAGAAGAATGACAGGACAGTCTTTTAGCGAGGCAGAGGCAGTCATGAGTCACTTGCTAATCATGCCTGAGCAAGATGGACAGATTTGCAAGACAAATCAGAGTATTTTGCATTTAGGCTTTTCCTCTTTAAACTTGCATAAACAGAGTTGCTGAAAATCCTGTGTTCAGTAGCATTACTGAAGGGAGGAAAAATCAACGAGCTAGCTACCCTTTTCATGACTTTTTAATACTGTGTTTCCATCAAGAATTCAGCATATTTAATATATTTTCTTTTGGTTCTGTATTTTTTTTTCAATTTTAGGAGTATATATTTTTTATTATTTAAGTCTATCTCATGCTGTGGTTATTATGTCTATGACTAAATGTATAGGATATTGTGCTTCAAATGCGGGGCTAGCCATTTTCTGTAAAAAAAAAATCACTGCAATAATGTATTAGTCTGTAATATCTTTTTTGCAAATACGAAATAAGCAGTTGTGAACCTATTAAAGAATGACGATCAGTCCTTGAGTAATCTGTCTACTCCTGGGGGTTTCATCAGCAATATCCCATGTAAATACGTAGATGAAAGAAGTATGTTATCCATCCTCAGTTTACATTCTAATCAAATTGCACAAGTGACTCAAGCTGATTTGTGTTATCAGCATGCAGAGGTGGTCCAGGAATTATCTTGGGGCTGTAAATTGTTTTTTTCAAACATGTCTTAAGTAGTACAGTTGGTACTGTCTTAATGATATAATACTGTTTTTGTTTGTTTTTTAAAGCAACTTGATTAAAATGTTTTTAAAATTACATTAAAAGTCAAAAAAGTGAATTAAGAAAAGAAATATGGAGTACAGACACAAAGAATGCCAAGAAAACAAAAAGAAAAAGAAAATGTAGATTACCTCAAATGTATCCTGTTCAAAAGAAAACAACATAAGCTTCACCCTCTAGGCCTCTGAATATTGACTCCTTTTTTGAAACCCCCCCCCCCTCAAATTGATTATAAAATAATAGTGATGGAATAATGCATTGTTCAAAATAATATTGAAAGCAAGGTTATTGCTTTGTGGCCATCTAAATTGTTTTGATCTTTTTTTACTTATGAGCTCACTGGATAGCTTTATGCAAACTATTCTGTCATGCTCAACTCCTCTATCTAACATTGTGGAGCTGGGTGGGTTAACAATCCTGGCTTCCCCTGTTTTAAGATTTGGTGAGCTATAGAGAAAATTTACACATCACTTTAAATCCAGAATCATAGTTTATTATATTGTATTGCATTCAAGGTCTGTGCTGGTACACACCATTTATTTGCTGTATTGTTGCTTCTTGCCTGAGTAGGTAAGTAAAATAAACATTTGCATTATGTCTCTGAGTTTGACATTATGGTTTATGGTACCTAATCATAAGTGTTAAAACTGTTAGCCTATGAATCCTGGTTCTTTTGTATGCAAAAAAGCTACAATCATTCAATCAGCTATAACACTATGTGGCTGGATTAAGCAGGAGGAATACAAAGGAAACAAAAGGGTTATGCAGTCTAGCTTTGGGCTTATGTACATTTAGTAAATACATTCCAGGTGTTCAGTGACACACACACACGGCCAGTATTTGGGATCTAGTGCAATATGATGAATTTTTAATCACGGCAATCAGAGTAAGCAATATCAGGTGTTAGACTGCAATTCCTACCATCCCATACTAAAGGTTGCTGGATTTTGCAGTCCAACAATCTCCGTAAAAAACAAAAGCCACCTTTTCCTGTGTGAGTCAAATTCTAGCAGGCATTTTTCTATCTATATAAACCTTAAGAAATGGGGCTACAAAGTGGAGTCCACGACATGCGAGTGTGGAAAAGAGTAAACCAAAGACCACTTACTTCCATGCAGTCTGAGCCCTGCCACATGACAATGGAGGACCGTGAAACCAGAGACACTCAAAGTGGCCAGCTTCTGGTTAAAGGAAATTTTGCATAATGCCAAGTTTTTAACTTTGTTTGTGGTTTTACTTTACATTATAACTGTATTCTCAATTTGCTTCTGACACGATAAATATATCTATATTACATCATAATTACCAGTTTCATATCCGTGTAATTGATATGGCTGCCATGCTAAAGAATCCTGGGATTTATAGTTTGGTGAATAATTTATAATTTTCTACCAAATAGCTTAACTACAATTCCCAGTATATCCAGAGTGGTTGGTGATGCTACAGATTTAAAATTATAAAGTTCGCAGGTCTTATCTTTCCAGAATACTTTCTATATATCTTTTCAAACTGTATATCCAAGGATTCCTTAGATTGGAGCTTTGACAAAGTGTACTATGAAACTGGTGTACCTTGTAGAACAGTACACCTCAAATTTCTCAGAATCATTGGGATCCTCTAAATTATATTTTTTCATCTTAATCAATTCCACTAAAAGATTTTGGGAAGGCAGAATAAGAAATGGGAGCTGAACTGGAAATCAGGAGGAGCAAAACAATTACAACAGCACAGCAACAGAGAGGAAACAAACAAGGACATCTAATCACCTCTCAACAAAAGATTGCCCAAGGCACTGCCAGGCCATCAAATGCTAATCAAGGTGGTCAGTTGAAACATTCACACTTAGCTCCAACAGACAAGAGTCCTTTGTCCCACCCTGGTCATTCCACAGATATATAAACCCTTTTTCCTAGTTCCAACAGACCTCAGTACCTCTGAGGATGCTTGCCATAGATGCAGGCGAAACGTCAGAAGAAAATGCCTCTAGAACATGGCCATATAGCCCGAAAAAACCTACAACAACCCCAAAAAATGTCTGATTTCAGTCCTTTCCGCTAGGTCATCAATGAAAGGGCTGCATTATGTAACCACATAGCGGTTTCTGATGAAAAAACTGATTCCTGTCTTAAAAGCAGAATTTAGTAATCATGCATGTGAAAAACCAGGTAGGTGCCGGCAAAGGGTTTTCAGATAAGATGAAAGATGCCTTTTCAGAAGGAAAGGTATAGCAAGAAGAACAGCCTTGAAAAAGGAGTGTGCAGACCTCCCACTCTGGTAGAAGTGAGTGCTGAAAAGACTGGAACCGGATTCTATATGGAAAAAGCAAAGATGTCTCTACAGAAGTCCTCAGTTTGATGGTGAAATGATTTCAGCCAAGTAATTGCAAGTAATTTTAGCATCAAAATAATTTCAGCAAGCAGGGTGGCCTTCAACAAAGTGATCTCCAACAAAAGGGCAAATGGAAACAAAGACAAGAGCCAGAACAGCAGGGAAATAAAGCCCTGGGTTTTTGATAGCGTTTTAAATAAAAGGGTACAGCAAGATCCACATTCCCTTAGGATATGCTCTTATAAAGAAAAAAAGATCCACAATGGATCAGGAAAACAGTAGTCTCAATATTTTGACTTTTGGAATCCTACATTATATTACATTTGTGAGAAGGGATGGGAATCTTTTGCCAGCTGTGGAACATCTTGAGGGCATGTGGCTAGGTCCTTGCCATTGATCAAGTGATGAGGAACGATATTTCAAGAGCCTAATTAGTTATACAGACAGACAGCTTGTAGTCTTAATGTATTGGACTAGTAGTATTCTGGGACACAATTTGATTTCCCTCTTGGCCATGGAAATGCACAGGTAGAGGAAGGCAATAGTAAATCTCTGAAGACATCTTACCAAGAACACTCAACAACAGGCTCCTCTGAAGTGAGAACTTTGTAGAAGGTGCTTAACAATATCAACCACCCATGGTCACCTAGCATGCTAGTTTTCAGGGGTTTTAATGCTGTTCAGTGCTGGTATTAATTTTTAGGGGTTTGTATAGAGTTAATTTCAATATGTTTTAATTTTTACTGTGTTTAACATTAAAGTGTTTTCTTGTTTTTTAATTTTTTTATTTATACTTTTATTGACTATTTATTGGAATATAGCAGGTTGAGGAAGGCTGCTACAGAGCTACCAGAAACTATAGACTACATTCCCTGAGTTCTCCTGCATTGTTTTTTTCTTGCCTCACTGTGCCTATGCCTCTTTTCTGTTTTGGATTGTAGACTGAAATGTATAATGTTGAAAGTAGCTATTAACTAATTATCTTGGATCTAGTTTCTAAATAAGGGCACAATGATTTACATATTGTTGATAGCACATCCCAAAATATTGGCATACACTACAGTGAGAGCTTTCTCATGATCCTTCATGATGTGTACACTAGCTGCAGGAAAAGGAATCTTCTGACCGTTTTCATAACAAGTTATTGTTTCATTGCTCTTTGTCTTACTTTGTAATTGCATACACAGTAATACCCTAAAACCTAGGATAAGTTTCCTGGTAAAGAAGTTAAATTTGGAAAGACCTTTTAATTGAATTAAAGTCAATAAACTGCTAGAATTACTATTAGATAATGAAGCACCAACAAAGTTGATCATTATATTCTAGAACTGCAAATTGGGAGTTCAGAGTGATTTTAATTAACTTTTGTTTCTTCTTGTTGAGCAGCGCAATCCTGTGAACTAGGCCAAGAAGTAACTGTCAGTCTATTGCAGCAGCCCACTTGGTGAGTATTACTGCCAAACTGGGCTTGAGAGTGGGCTCAAGCTCAACATGCTAATCCATGTACCATCCAAGGGTCTGATAGCCAATATAGTTAATGGTAGCGAGTTGCCATTCATATTCGGGTTCTAAAAATCCAGTGATGTTTATTTCAAAATTGACTGTTTATTGTGTCACTTTGAAAACTTGGTTTTATTAAAGAGTTTTAAATCCAGTGGCCTAGATTTTTCAACTGAGGAAAAGGCTGATATTAAAAAGGACAAAGTGTGACCCCTAGATGTTGTCAGACTGCAACTGTACTGCAACTCCCAGCATCCAATTGTAAGGAATATTGGCAGCTGCAGTCAAGCAACATCTGGAATCATAGAATCATAGAGTTGGAAGAGTCCTCATGGGCCAACCAGTCCAACCCCCTACTGAGAAGCAGGAAAATCACATTCAAAGCACCCCTGGCAGGTGGCCATCCAGTCTTCGCTTAAAAGCCTCCAAAGAAGGAGCCTCCATCATGTTTTGACCATATCACTTTCTGGAATGTGTATAAACTTTGAGGAAGAAACAAAGAGATGAAACAAACCATCCTTTTGTAATGAATGAAACAGATCTGGTTACAAGAGTTACATCCCAGTTACTTTCTGGCAGTGTGTCCTAATCTTGTCATGTTTGCAATCTAGTCCATAACACATGAAAAGGGAATACGTGTATTTAAGTTAATCTAGTGTATTTGAAGCCAATGGGATCAATCTGGCACAAGTCCAGGTGCTTTAGTATAATTGAGCCTCGGACTGTGGAAATCACTCATTCTAGCTGCAGATAGAAAATCTATTGTATTAATAGCTATGATTTACTCAAAGATCCTTTACTTTGTTCAGCCACAAAACAGATAAACCATGGCAACGTCAATCAGGATTTTTATTAACAGCAAAGCGTTCAGACCTTTGGTTCATTGGGTATGATTCATAGATTATAAGTGACACTGAT